TGATGTACAGACGGACTACTTAAATTAGACACCAAAAGTGTACATGTGGCTAGTATGTATTCTCTAATGTAGGGGGTTCTTTAGAGAACTTCTTGCTATATATACTTGAATAAAAATCCTAGCTCCCAAGAGGGTAGACGTTAAAAAAAAAAAATAATAAAAAAATAAAATATTATTTAATCTATTAATAGGCAATTTGTGAGCAATTCTCCCTGATGATCACTCGTACCAAACTTATAACTAACAAAAACAGAAACTTGTTGAAAAAAAGAAGAAGAGATGATTATCAAAGAATAGTTTTTATAAAGATCATAGCTTTTCTGCATTTGGCTAGACTCCTTTGTATATTCAGCAAGCAAGTTAAAAGCATTCTGGTACAAGATAACTAGCAGGAGGTGGTGCCCTTATACAGCTTCTGCTGATGAAGTGAAAGATAGTTGGTCTAAAGAAGAACAACAAGTGAGTTTTCAACACACTTTCTATTGAAGTTTAAGGCTACCTGCAAACCAAAACTCTTTACAACACCCTACTCTTTGCTCTTTACGAAATTTCACCAAAAAGTGGGAAATCCAGCAGATCTTTATCAAAAGATCAATAACAATAATCGCTATTGAAAAAAGAAAGTCACGTACAAGAGTACAAATCTATTTTGGGATGAATAACATATAATCGTATTACCTCAAGAGGTTGTAGTGTTTATACTAAGTGCCCTAGCATGTTAACTTTGCCCAGGAACAAAAGAACATGAATATGTTGCAAAATTTTAGATAAAGACTTATTAGGATCATACTAAAAATTTTAAACTTGGACCTCTACTCAAGAATGAAGATTTTATATTCTAATATAGATATAAACAACTAGTGTAGAGTTTAGACTAGTTTTTAGTAGCACTATATAATTTTTATAGTCTGGCATGAACTTAATAGTACTGTTCTTTGTTTTTTTTTCTTTTATTTTGTTTTTTTTTTTCTTTTTGTTGTTTTTGTTTTTTGTTTTTGTTTGTTTTAGTTAGGTTGGATTTTATTGCTGTGTCTATTTCACTTTGTTTTAGTTTATTCTTTAATTTGTGTATGTGTTCTTATTATTAAAAAGAAAAGCTAACATCGAGGCGAGTGGCTTGTAGTCACTAGCCAAAGATTGAAGAGAAAAAAGCTCTTATTGGTAAGAACCCAGATTGAAGCTAATAACTATTGAGACAAGCCATATTGGGTATTAGCTTGGTATGCTATAGGTCTAGTAGATCAATATAGCTAGGAGAGAAATTCTTGTAATTTGTCAAATAGTTATAATCTCAATAAATGATAGCAGGCAGCCAAATTAAAAAAAAAAATTTTTTTAATAATAAGGGCCTAGTAAAGACTAGTAAGCATATTTTATAAAAGAATATCCAGAACTCTTTTTTCAAATATCTTAGATACTATCAAAAGCACAAGCATAGCAAGCTAATCTTGTAATAATAAAAGACTATTTTTATTTTGATAAACTTAGTTAAATAATTAAGAAAAGTTCTCTTACTGCAAAATATATATAAAATATAGATAAGATGAAGTTCATTATTTCTTCTAAAGTTTAAAAAATACTTGCTAAAAAGATACTATCAAGTTCACAAAATTGCTTATAGCAATATACATAGATATATATCTGTTGCTCTAACTATTTTTGCTACTAAGAGTTATTATTACTATTATTTATCTATAAAAATATTTGCATGATCCTAGACTTGTAAACTGGTACTCTATTTAGTAGTATTATAGCTTTTACAAATTTTAAAAATATATATTTGAAATATATATTAAACATTTTGTTAATTTGATTATACTCTTTTATTCTGTTTTTCTAATTCTTGATGGATATAAAAGTCATATTAATTATATATATATTAATTTTTGATATAAAAATAAAATTCTATTATATATCTTTCTGCTACATACTATTTATATTCTCTAGCTAGCCAAAATATCATTTTCAAAACTTAAAAAAGAATATAATGAAAGTTGTGATAATTTTCATAATATTAATAGTAAAATAGTAACAAAATATTCTTTTGTCAAAATATTTGAACCAGTATATATCAAAACTTTTATATCTGAAATAATTATGAATTTTTTTAAAACTACAGAAATTTGGTCTTTAAATCCTGATACTATTGGTATTAATTATCTTAATTCTTTACTATTAATCAAAAAACCTGATTTTTTATCTCTATTAACTAAGCAAACTTTGGTATTACTTTTATTATTAATATCTTCATTATCTTTATTTTTATTATTTTTATCTTTATTACTATCAACTTTATTACTATTATCTTCATTACTATTATCTTTATTATTATTATCTTCATTATCTTTATTTTTATTATCTTTATTTTTGTTATCATCATTTTTGTTACTATTATCTTTATTACCATTATCTTTATTATATCTTTATTTTTATTATCATTATATTTGTTATCATTATTATTATTATTATCTTTATTAGACAAAATATCTTTTCAATTGAACTACACATATTTAACCCATATTAATATTTTTAATAATATAAATCTTTAAGAATAGAAAATAAACACCTTAAAAAAAAATTAAACAGTTAAAATAAATGAAACAAAATTATATTGTAATACAAGAAGAGTTAGAGATATTTAAAAAATCTAGTACTTTTTTATTAAAGCTAATACTAAATATTCTGTTTCACACTTGTTATCTGCTAATGAAAATGAAACTGAAAAAACTTCACAACAACCAAAAAAAAGAAAAACATTAATATTCATCTGACTTCTCACTAATGATAAATTATTAAAAGCTTAGAAAGAAGCAGATGATTTAGTAAAAAAGAAAGTTAAGAAATCTAAAAGAAAAACAAAAATGACTGCTTAAAAGAGAGCTGAGTATGAATTAAAAAAAAAAATACAAAAGCAAGCAACAAATAAAAGAATTAAGAAAAGAAATAAGATACCTGAAAATATTACTATTATTGAGTGATATCTGGTTATATTTGATTAGAGACATGACAAAAATCAAGTGATTTTTTAGAGAGGAGGAGTAAAAAAAGTTAAAATTATATATAAGAACCTGATTTTTTTTTATATTAAGAGGAGAGAAGGGGGTAAGCCTCTGATAAAAAAAATCAGGTGATAAATAATACTGCCCTTATATTTGTACAATGGTTTTGCTAATTTTTTTGGTTAGACTACATAATGTTAAGTAATATTGGGTTAAATTATTACTAAAGATGACCTGCCACATTACTCTCCAAATGTAAAGTTTTAATTTTTTTGATATTTTTAAATAGATAATAAAACAATGTAAAAATTACTAGCAAAGTTCTTTTTTTATAATTAATTTAAAGTATATTGAATGAAGTATAAGTCTTATAGATTTTATAAAAATCGATCTTTTTTTTGAAATAACTATTTTTAACCATGCCATTATAGCTCTAGTTACTTTATTCGATGTTTGTAAAGTTGTACAGTATCCTCAGAAAATATATCACAATTATACAAAAACTACAAATTTTCTAAACATTAAATTTATTGCTTAGCAAATTAATAATAAATATCGATATACCAATTCAGCAATATATCTTTACAATACATATATTGAAAATAACGTATCAGTATTTGTAGCCATAACCTCTATTAAAAATAACTTCAGCAGTATAATTTGGAATACTGTTGATTAAATTCATAAAATTGATGCATTTAGCCTTTCCTATTTTTCTAAAAGCATTGTCTTCAAATTTTTATATATTCTTGAGAGTGGTCTTTGTTGCTGTATTCTACATATCTTTTAGCATATTCCATATACTTTTTTTTGTAACCATGATATACTTTCTGAGGGTACTAAACATATGCATGTTCGTAAAGCACTCGCATCATATCATATTATAGTGTAATAGTACTGTATTATATTTTATATTATTATCTCTTACTCTGTAATCTGAATTGCCGATATATAGATACCCAATTATCTTTATATTTTTAATTTCCAAAATTGCTTGCGCAGTTTTGAGTTATATCAGCAATACAAATACTTATATCAAAAGTCAAATATTTATATATGTCAGACATTCTGAGGTAATACAAGATATAGTTGGTAATAGAATTAGTGAATTACAGCATTACAGCATTACAGCATTACGGCATTTTACTAGTTGGTAGAATTAATTATGATATAGTATCTGATTTTTGTAAATATTATATACCATAATGTCATAATGCTTTATATTGTAATATCATACTACTATAATAATATGAAACTATAATACAATACTATAATACTATAATATGATATATAGAAATATGAAAAGTTTGGTCGATTCAACTTGACTCCAGAAGTCAAGTCTTAATTTGTACTCGGTCCTAAGCAAACTTGAAACAAAAACTCATTCTGTTATATTAAATACATAATACCACAGTATTTAAATAATACAAGGTTCAAACCTTAAATCTTGTATTATAGTATTACTTAAATAACTGTGGTTCACATGATAGGATGAGTTTTTGTCCCAAGTCTGCCTGAAACCAAGTACAAATTATGACTCGACTTCTGGACTGGACTGAACTTTTCATATTTCTAATAATATGGTACAAGTAGTGAGAGTAGTAAGGTGCAATACGCATAACATATATATAACCAATATTAGCAGATTATCTACTATGTCAGAAATTTAGAATAAATGCAAATTTGATTGATTAAAAATAAGTTTTAGCCAATTATGTATTTGTATTTTTTCTAGATTTCTGATTCCCAGTATAATATATGAAAATCAGTGAATATAGCAATTTGAAAAGTGCAATAAATAAAAAAAAATAAATGGCTGTATTATTAAAAATCATAGAAATGTATTATTAAAAATTTTAAACTTATTATTATAGTTTGTACTTAGCAATTTTACAATAGCTTTGTTTATTGTTATATCATCAATGTATAATTTAAAATTTAAGACAGTTATTTGAATTTTGCATAATGATAATAATAGGTATTGCTTATTGCCAATTTGTTGCAATGCCACTTTTAAGTTTTTTTTTTCACTTGGGCAATGCATAAGCATAATGATAAATATTTAATTTTTTAGCTATCTGTTTTATATACAGCACAGCCATAATATGCAATTTGCGTATGTATGACTTTACAAATATCGAATACATAATAACTGAAAAGATTCTATCATTTCTCGACAACCATTTTCCTGACAATATCAAAGTTCTGACAAATTAGCCTGCATTAGATTAGGGTTGGTGTTGGTGTTAGTTCTAGTCAATTCTTATTAAGATTTTGTTTGTCGAAAAAGGTTTGTCAGGAAAATGATAGCTAAAAGGTATTTTATCTAATTAGTAAAATTATTTCATAGTTGAAAGTACTTTAAAAAAGTTTTACTTGTTATAGTATTTCATATTGCGATATTATAGCATAGCAAATAATACAGCATATGCCGTTGCTATATTAATTTATCAAATTAATTCTACCAACAACTATAGTACAAGATCGTGATTTTTAAAGGGTCCCAAAAAGTGAGCAAAGAAATAGAAGAATAGAGAGGCTGTGTGCTAAAAAGAATAATATTTTTTACAGATTATCAAACAAAATGATTTAGTTTTATGATACCATGTACCCTTAGATTAATAATTTGATGAGAAAATGCAAATCTGCTTGCAAAATGGTATAAGAGATAATCTTTATTATGATATTATATATTATGGCATTATGGCATTACAGTATTACAAAATTACAATATTACGGTATTATGACATTAGGCATTATAGCATATAATATTTATAACAACTATAGAGAAATTTTGATAGAACTGTCTTTAATTAAAAAAAAAGAAGAATGATGATAGTTAAAAAGAAAAGTTGATAAGAATGTTTTCAATAATTAAAAGAAAAGAATGAAAATAGTTAAAAGAAAAATTGGCAGTTAAGTATAAAGTCATTATATATAGGAAATTCGATAGGGTTGTTGTTAATAATATCAATAGTGAGATTAAGGATTGTTATAGAGATATGGTCTTTAGTGGTTAGGATAATAGGTATTCTTTTGATATTTCTGCTTCATCAACAGCACTACTCGAGAATTTATTTCCAACTATGATACCAATAACATATTTCTTTTCCAAACACATAACTTCTCTTAACGATCTAATTGTGTCTGGTCCTGTAATTAATTAATTAATTAATTAAAATAAATATTTTATTTTATAACAAAACTAGTATAATAAATTTATCTATATTATTATACCAATTTTTACATTGAAATAGTATTTTTTTTTTTGATTTTACATATGATATTGACATCACCATCTTTGTTTTGCCTATAAATGATAATATGTAAATATATATATCATCATCATTAACAACTAAATATTGCACAGCTGGAATAGTTTACAATGACATGCTTATTAGTTAGTATATATTCTATTCATCTATTAATTTTCCATATAGGCAATACGAACTACGGAAATACTAAATAACTAAGAAAAAGAATGTTCTATGTCAAAACATAGGCCACGAGGAGCTTTTAATTCTTCTCAGATATTTTATACCGATGAGATAGCGTAGCTTCAGATATATGATAACTCAACAAATACTTGTAAAAAAACTCATCCACAATGAATAACTTCAAGGCCGATACTCTTTAAAAATTCAACAATATCGATCTACAAAATTAAGCTTTTTGTATAAGTTGTTTGATCAATTAAAACTTCAATTACAATGAATTCGGATTCGAAATACATTTTGATTTCTTTAAAGATAAAGAAAAGCTATACATTTTTCTCATCTTTTTATTTTGAATTGTTATCACTTCTTTTTCACTAGAAAATTTTATAATTTTGTTATCAAAAAATATGTTTAAATTACTCGAATCATATATCTCATGAAATCTCATTTTTAGAATAACAAAAAATCATTTATTATATATATTTCCAATCATACATCAATTTCTATAAGGGTTGAATATGATCGTCTAGCAATTAACCAAATTTAGTTAATAAATCCCATCTATATACACCTACTTATACTAAGAAAAGTGATATAAATATATACGAATTTTAAGTTATTTAAGATTGAAATAAATAATTATATGAAAATATATTGTATATATCTATATACTACTAAATCAGATAAAAATTTTGTTTTAAAGTTAGATTTTCTCTAAGTAGTACTGGTACATCTGGTCTGGTCCTGGTTCAGTCTCTAAAAAGCCTGGCCCTGAACTAATTAAAAACTAGTTTACACCTGTTAAAAATTAGTTAAAAATCAATTCTACTCTACGTAGTAGTTTAATATGAAGTAAAAAAAAAAACAAAATATTTACTAATTTGGTTTAAATCTACCAATTGATACACTTAATAATTCTAGTGAATTTTAAAGTGAAGCTCCAAATTTCATTATAGCTATTTAAAAGGTATTGTTCATGATTCATACCATATTAAATCTATTCAATATGTCAAAAATGACACTCTATTCATATCATGTGATATCAAAACTGGTTTTGGAACAGTTTTAAACTGTTTTTAAAAAGTCCAGTCTGAACTTGGTCCAAACCTGTTCCTCTTGAACCATTTAACATTAATATCTCTAATTTCTCAATATTGGTTAGAAACTAATTTCAGAACAATAAAATATAACAATCTGTATTTGTGCCCCATCTTACAAATAAGATAAGCCTTGTAAGATGATACAGATAAATTTTGTATGTAGAATTATTCTAACACATGTTAAATGAATATCTTTGTTACGTTGTGAAGGGGTAGATCATTGCTTGTAATAGGTTTTTCTATATTTGGTAGATCAGATACATATTTGACTTAGCAAACTTGGTACGCATCTTGAACATTTTGTACATAGTGCACATAGTGTATATATGGTACATATTCTACTGGGTGTCTAATACATATCTAATTACAAATATAGTGCAGATTATATAGTGAAAATCATTAATCAATTTTTTTATAATTAGCGGTGATATAGTAGTAGCATAAGTAGTATATAAAAACATATAAAATTTAGATTGCAATAACTCTTGAACAAGCAAACACATACAAATAAAATTATATTTGTTGGGTTCATATTAGTATATTCTTTAAAGTAATATTTTTTTTTTGTCTGTCATTTGAAGCAATATCGGAAACTTAATTTCATACAAAATAGCCGTTTTTGATATTTTTTAATACAAAAATCAAAAAAGTAACTTTAAATTTTTTTTTGTTTACTTGTATTGTATTGTGTAATAGTAATCGACAAAATTACATTTTTGATATTTTTATTAAAAAATCATCAAAAACGACCATTTTGCATAAAAATTTGGATCCTCTGCTATGTTTCAATCAATAAAAATAAATTAAAAAAGACATTGTAACTTTAAAAAATATACTAAAATAAACTAACAGATATAGTTTTATTTGTGTAAGTTCGCTTGTTCAAGAGTTATTGCAATCTAAATTTTATATATTTTTACTATTTACACTACCACTATGCCACTGCTAATTATAAAAAAATTTTTGATTAATGATTTTCACTATATGTATACCTGCACTATATTTGTAATTAAATATACATTAGACATCCTAATATTCTATACAGTATACATATTACACATAGTGTACACTCCCTTGACAGTGATCATTAAAATTTTGATTTTCACGTTACCTAATAATGATCATAGTCACATATGTAACTTATTTTTTAATTAAAGATTTTTAATTTTGTTAAATTATTTTTTCTATATATGTATATGCAATGTAATTATTGCGTACATTTGTAACTAGATTTTGTCAACTTAATACTATAAATAGTTTGGGTTATATAACTTTTTTATAACTTATTAACATTTTCGAATATGGGATCTACAGACAAAATTTCCTTGCAATTCCAGAAAAAGAAACTTTCATTCATCATTTTTATATAAATTATGATAGCGAATGTGAATATGAATGTAGATATGAATGTAGATGTGAATGTAGATGTAAATGTAGATATAAATGTAGATGTGAATATAGATGTAAATGTAGATGTAAATATAGATGTGAATGAAGAATACCAGCGGTATTCTATATTTTTGTCTTGGGCAGCAACAAAAAAAAAATAGTAGTGATAAAAAAGACTTCACATTAATTATATTATTAATACTCTACTTAGATTTGTAAATATGTTTTAGTATTTTTTTTAAATTTTTTTGCTAAATTTTTTACTGGCCAGATAGATTGATAATCAATGATCATCAAAGACCATAAAAATGTTTGCAGCAAAAAGATTTAATTTTTTCTAAATTCAAGTTTTTTTTTTTTAGTTATCAGAAAAAAAAACTATTATAATAGAAAAATATCTCTGATACAAGCTATAAAACCAAGATACTATATAGATCAGGTTATAATAAAATCAGTATTTAATCACATACGTGTGTCTTCATTTTTTAATGTGGTTACGTAAACTTATTTAAAAAAGGTTTTATTTTTGTTTATATTGAAACCTCTAAATAAAAGTATTTAAGCTACTTATTTCTTACCGTAAAATCCAGAAAATAAGCACCACACCCTCTACTCTATTTTTTTTGATCTTAGATTAATAAAAATAACTTGAGTAAAAACTTTATTACTATTTCCACTAATCTGAGGTTTAAAAAGTA